CCTCCTACCTCAGCTTCCTGAGTGCAAGAACATGCACCACCAGGTCCAAGTGGTCTTTTTGTTTCAATCTTGGTATTTAATGCTGTTTCTTTCTATATAAGCTAGAGATCCAGGTATTTGAGATTTAAAGTGATTTATTTTGTTGTTGTTGTTTCTTTTTTGGTACCAGAACTTAGGGCCTTAGGCTTGCTGGGCAGGCAAGATTTAAAGTGTTTATAAGTTACACTCTTTTGTTAATTTTGAAGTGTACCAAATTGTTCATCTTCCAAAGGCATTATTTACCTATATTATAGAAATGACAGTATCTCATGTGCCATTCCAAGAAAAAGGCTCACAAGTAAGAGATTCTCAAATGTGATGTCATAGTACATCTGTGTTCCAAGAGATGTAAACAAGTAACTGCAGTTAATGTAAAGAAATTTTTAAAACATCTTGTGGCATGTATTTTCATTAGGAACACGTACTCTGACCAAAGATGATGACTATTTGGTGTGCATGGAAGTCATATTTTTGGAATGTCATGAAAAATGGAAAAGTATATGAAAGGCATTCAAGCTTTCAGAAATAATGCTAGTAGGGACTTTAGATTAAAGAGGTAATAAGATCTGCCTAGGCAGACTGAAGAGAGACGGTTTAGTAGTGAAAAATAAGGCTATCAGACAAGTAAATGGCAGGCTAGAAAATAAAAATGTATCATTTGAATGGCAGGGAGCCACTGCCTGTTTTTCAAAAAGCAAGATATTGAAGTTATCATACCCTCTGCATCATTTAACTTGGACGTTAAAGGAGTTTGAGCGACAGTAGAAGGGAAAAATTGTAGTAATCCTGCCCAAAGATTAGGGTCCAATTTATGAATTTATATCAGAGGTTGAGGTTCAAGTGTAGATTATATATAAAATGAAGAACCAGACAGCTCTTCTGCAAAATTGGATGCAAGTAACAAAGGACAAAGAGTAGTGGCAGACTAGTTTCTGTTCTATAGAAGGAAATTTAATGTTCTAAGACAGAACGTGGAATTTGGAATGATTGTCAGGGTAAGATGGAGGTAAGCCCTATCTTCATGATGTTAAGTGTGATGAAGTATCTACATTATATAGTTAAAGTAAAGTCAATCACATTTGAAAAGCTGCTGTCCTCAACAGGCAAGATTGGAGCTATGGCAAGAAATTAGCCATTGAGGCAATCAGAAAGCCTCTGCCCTGGGGCAAGCCCAGAGTTCAATGTGGATCACTTGAGAGGTATAACATGGTATACCTCTGCCCAAGTCTGACCCTGAGTCCAGGGTGTTATTACTACATATAAGAACCAAATCTGAATGCTGAGCAGAAAGAAATGGTTCTTACAGATATGATAGCTCAAGATTTCATCTCTTAAAAATGAACAGAGATACTTATTTGCTTTGAAGAGACATTGTGAGATCCAGAGAAAGAGAGGTGAGAGATCTCACCCTAGCCACCTGAGCTCAGACTCGAGCAGCAGCTCCTGATTCAGTGCATGAGTGAGCAGCAGGGATACCCCCATAAAATAAGTGACTTCTTAAAATGCCTCAGTGATGGAAGGACACAGTAGCTAGATTTTACTTATGGCCTGTTGGCTGGGTGGAGGTTGAATCAGGATCCTGGGCATAGCCCACCCTGCCCTACCTACTTGAACCACTTCTCTCATGCTGTAGACACCACACCCCGGGTTACAATTAAAGAGCCAAAATCTCTAATCTTGACTCTTTACCTGCACTTGATTGGTGGTACTTATTTTATGCTTCAGGAGTTGTTGGAATAAGTAGTTGATGGGCACCACAGAAAATGTGGGTTAGAGTTCCAGGATAGCAAGGAAGAGAGTTGAAGAAGGTGGCCCTCTTACACAGGGAGAACTACAGCAAATTCCCTGCCCCTTATGAACCTTAGAGTTCTCATGGGTGAATTAGACATTGAAGAGGTAATTTTTTAAAAAATGAACTGCTCAGCCATTGTACTAGGAAATTCTTAGGAAATGGAATTGGATAGGAAGCTGCCTGATTTGAGTGGGTGTCCCAAGCGTCTGTGATCACTGACATTTCAGTTGAGATCCGAAGAATAAGGAGCATCCAGCCAGAGAAGACTGGGGTTGGAGGTGAAAGTGAGCACTATTGGAAGGATTTCAGACTTGGAGAACAATTTGATGACTACCATGGCCCAAGCCAGATGTACTGGGATCATGAACCAGAATGGCAGTGATGTATAAGCAGAGGATAAGACATCACTAACTCAGCCAAAGTCAGAAAAGTAAAACTCATGCTGGTGTTGGTGGAAATCCACCCCTTCTCAAGTTGGGAGTGTCAGCCGGGAAACTTGTTGGGAGCCAGAGGACTTACAATCTTTTTTTTTTTTTTTTTAAAGAATGTTGAGACAATCAGGTACCCTGAGGAAAGAGCGTAATAGGGAGTGGCAGGGAGCTGGAACACAAGCATAAGAATGTGGCATAACTTCTGCATGGAATGAGAAAAGGCTTGAGAGGCAGCCCAGCTGACACAGGGTAGAATCTTCTTGCTTGTGTACCTGTATTGTGATTTTCCTCCAGCAGGACAGACACTCCACAGAGTCAGGGTAGAAGAAGCACATGGAGAGGCTGTTGGGGCCTTTCCAGGTGGCTGAGGCAAGGATTGCTGTAGTGGGCAGTAGTATGGGCAAGTGGTACCAATGACAAGAGGCCAACAGATACAGAAACCCAAGAAGAGAGCGTTGGACACAAGAGAGTGGACCAGAAGGAGTCGCCATGAGTACCAAGGCGGATGCGCCGGAAGGGTGGTCCAGAGCGAAAAATGGGCTAGTCCTTTCAGTCACTTTGGTTATCTATGTGTTGTCTGTCTCATAACACAGTGATAAAAGTTTATTTTATTAGAGGGAAATGATTGGTAAGTAGTTTGGACTTCACTGAGTTCTAGTTCTGTAATGAAACATTTCCTTTTAATTATTGTGTTTACCTTTGTCAGGTTTTGGTGTGCTTGAAACATACTTCTGTGGTCCTTTGAGCAAGGATAGATGCATTGGATGCACAGGTTCTGTGAAATTGGGTGCCTGGTTGCTGTCCTCAGTGTAACTCCACAGCCATAATTGATGGAGGGTTGAGTTGCAATTGTGCTTTTGGCACTAATTGCGAAGTTTAAACTTTCCTGGAGCTGCCCTTAATAATAATAATACCTTGTATAGATACAGAGCTTTATAATTTACAGAGCACTTTGACATATATCATTTTATTTAATCTTTATAATACACAATGGTTTTTGAACGCTTAGTTCTTTCCTGTGAGAGAAAACATTTGCACAACCATAGGGAGTCACCAAAAGTTTCCCTTTTTTGGGGGGAGGTTAGTTTTTAAAAATTTTATTCAAAAGTTTCTTGTTACAGTTTCCACTTATTGATTATCTTCTATGTACAAGTCACTTCACTAAGCACACAAAGGTGTAAGTTTTCAGTAAATAAATATCTAATTAAAAACACCTATCCAGTAATATATGATCTTGCCTCCTAATTCACTTTCCTTTCCTCATCACCATCACTATTTTGAAAGCTAGTTCCATGCCGTACATTTATATAAACATTGCCAGGAATTCATTATTTCAGAGTTACAGTTTTTAAAACTAAAAATTGTGATATTCTTCTAAGCTTAGTGATTCTTCCAGAAGTCATTCTAGTAAACTTACACTTTGTTAAAGATTATCTCTTGCTTGAATCTCAACAAAAATATTTCACACTCTCAACATGTATAAAAAGGCCTAGTCATTGCCTTCACTGTCTTGATTGAATTGATTGGGGTATGGTTCAAGAATACAACTGAGACTTTGGCCCAAAAAAGCTTGTTATCCAGTAGAAGCTAAAAGAAAAAAAAGGGAAAAAAAAAGACCTCTAGGTTCTATAAATTGGACTGTTCTAGGATGCTGTACAGAGACAAGGAGAGAAAGATTTCCTAGGAGACTGCTTTCCAGGTGAGCTGGAGAGCAGAAGGTAGTGTGGGAATGAGGTCTAGTAGCAGGGTACTTAAAGTTCTATTTAGAAACCCCCAGAGTATCCAGGCACTGACTCCACAGAAAATACATAAGCTTTGAAGTCTTACTGAAGATCCTCCAAAAAGTAGGGGATCCCAAAAGTAATTGGAACTTCTGCCTTCAATGAGCTATGTGACCTGTAAATCATGGTTCCTTCCTCCATCAAGGGCTGGATGAGACCCTGACGTCAGGATTGAACCTCAGTTGAGAAACCTGTTTTAAGCCAGATATGGTATTGATAGAATAATCCCAATATTCTGGAAGGCTGAAGCAGACAAATCATAAATTCAAGCCCAGCCTCGGCAATTTAATGAAGCCCTGTCCCAGAATTTAAAAGGAGGTTTGGGTGTAGCTCATATGAAGGCCCTAGGATCTATCCCCAGTACTGTGACCTCCCACCACCCCCCTGACACACACACACACACACACACACACAGAGGGTTGGAGAATTGGATAGGGGAGGGGACAAAACTTGTTTTGTTGATGAAACTACATGGGGCCACCTGTGCTGAGGATACATCAGGTCAGCATGATGCAGCAGTTGCTTCTTCAGGTGTTCTGCTCATTCTTAATTCTTAAGTATCTTAACTTTATTAGCTTCAATGATACACTAGTGCCTACTCAGCCATCTATGATGGGATATAGATTTCATAACATCTTTTAAAATAATAACTCCTGTGTTTTATAAGGGAGGCTAATGTCTGAATTATCCAATTCTGTCTTAGTTCTTTAGATATGGAGCTTAAGCAATGAGAAGCTCAAGAATTCTTCCTTCTTTCTGCTGGGCAGTTCTGTCTAACACTTTTTTATTTTGACAGAATATACAGCCAGCATTTGAGCATCCTATAAATACTCCAGAGGGGAACATAATTAGGATATGGCGTGGAGCTGGGAGTTTAAGCATAAGTGATGTTTCCGACTGGGGCTGGAAACGTGCTTTAAATAATTGTATTCTGATCATTTAGGTCTTTCTTTATAGGGCATCTTTTATGACCAAGACTGTCCAGTACCAAAATGAGCTACATAAATTCCTAATCTGGGATACAGCTGGACAAGAACGAGTAAGTCTCTCTTTATTTTCTATGTGTTTTTCTGAGGCCCAAACCAAATTAAAGCTCCAACTAAACTGTCAATGTCCCTGTCATTTCACGTTACTCACTGCTACACCCGAGAGACACATTTATTTCCATTTGTGTAGGCCAGCCTTTTTCTTTTCAATTAGAACCACAAAGTCCACTGATGGAGAAAGTGATAATGGGCACTGAGGGCGTTCTTACACTTTTTAGTGTCTTAAAGTAAATGCTGACTAACAGGCCTGATAAAATCCCACTCGAGCATTATGTGTAATTTGGGGCTTCATCCTCTAGTAAAGACATAAAAGAATTAGTGGTAGAAGGGGAGAGTTAAGCACAATTCATTTATAGTCGCCTTTTAAAAACTAAAGAGGGAACTTTACAGCATATAAAGTTTGAGATTTAAGTGAAACGGATGAGCTAACACAGTGCCTTGCAGGAGATACTTAATAAAAATGCCTGATGATAAAATTGACCACGATGGTAATCTGCCTGAGGAAGAGCCTCATCCACAGTGGGGCTGGCTGCAGCAGCATGGGGGCAGATGGGATTTGGTTATATCCAACCACATACCTCCTGCCTCATCTCCCCAGTTCAATTTCACTGCCGAGGTGCCTGTGGTGGCCACCCCATTGTTCAGCTGGCATTTAATTTTGTTTTCGAATAGTACTATCAAAACAGAGCATCTGATGGATGCACAGTGCTATCTTAGGCTCTTAAAAGTATACCAGAAGTAATCAGGAAAAATAGTCTGTCATCACGGTCTTATCTAAGACAACATAGATATTGTGTATGGTATAAAATCTGACAAGAGTCATCACAGACAAATGGAAAAAAACAAAACAAGCCATTACTGTTGTCCTAGATGTAGACACTTTTATATTTGTACCGATTTAACGTCTTAAGTTTGCTTTGTTTTCTTCCGTTTTTAACGCTGCATGTCATGCTCCCATCCAATTACTCATCTGAGATACATCTGCTTATGGACCTCCAAGCTTCACTCGCTCTGTGCTGGTGCTGTGTATCTAGAATAGGACGTTTAGGATTGTTAGACCTTTTGCTAACCATCACTCTTCAGTCTTTTAGAATTAGTTAGCAGAATCCTCCTGCATATAACTATACACACAACCCTGGGATCTGTCCCATTAGCTACAAACTCACAGGGCTCTTCCTACTGGTAACATACATGCATTTCCACTGAAGCCCAAGTTTCAGTTACTCCCTACAGATACTTGATGGTACAGCAAAACCCCTATCATAAAGAATTATGCTGGAATATAGATCCCATTGTACTTAGAGTCTGTCCTAGGGTACACTGTGAAAGATAATATCCCCTTTTTTGGAACATGACAGGAGAAATAACCCAAGGGTATATACCCCTCCCTTTTGATAGCATGATTGCAGATGTCTATGAAATTCTGTAACTGGCTAATTTGGCTGCCTCTTGTTTGCCTACTTCTAATTGATCTGAGATGTGAACCTGCCTCCCCACCACGTTAAGCACCATCATGCAGCCCAGTTCTGAGCAGAAGATGGTCTTGAGGCCAGGCCGGGGTAGGGCCCCTGACCAGCAGGCCCTGCATTGGGGAAGCAGGCAGGAGATTCTAGCCAAGTATTATTTGACAAAAGCTCATGTCCAGGGCTGCCAGATTACAGGGCATAAGAAAAGCTAAATACCTGATAGCTCATCACAGATGGTTTGAAATACAGGGACAATCATGCAGGACATATCTGTGAGCCCATTCTGGGTCAAGGACTGCCCATTTTTCCTGGGCAAGGTTGCAAGGCTCCGAATATGCCCGCTGCAACTATACTTATTTCACCTCTTCCCATCATTCTGTTCTCTTAATGCCGAACTGCTTATAGATCTCTAGCATGCCACACAGTCTTACAACCTCGTACCCTTCCTTCTACTGTTTGCCTGAAAAACTCCATCTAGCCTTCAGAACCCACTTCTGAAGGGGGAACTTTCCTAACCACCTGTATTTTTCAGATAAATAACCATGTTACCATATACCCATGTTGCTCAAACCCAAATCTGGAGCTTCTCTTGGGGTCTTGATATGTCTGTTTTCTACACATACAGTGGTACCTCAGTTCACAAATGCTTTTGTTTGTGAACTCTGTATCTGGTAACAAGCGTGACCGTGGCTATCTTTCTTGAAGGAACATGAACAGGGCCATCTTTTCCAGAATTGTGGAATGAATTAAGTTCATGAACTGAGATGCTACTGTATCTGAGTTCTCCATCTCCACTACCAGCATATTATTCTCAGCCACCTTTTACTTTCAAGTTTTCCTGTATCCTTCTAACTGCTTTCCCTGTAGCCAGCCATGACCCACCTCATTTCTCACGGGATCCAGAGTCTTTGGGAAACGTAAACCAGGCCCTGCTGTCTTCATGCTAATACCCTTCAATGATTGACCACTGCTCTTTTTCTTTGGCCACTCTCTGAAGAGGCTGACGGAGCTCACATGCCCTCTGTACTTCTCTCACTAGCGCCCTCCCAACCCACCCTCACTCTCCCCACTGTGTCCCAGCCCACTGTCCTCCGTGCAGGTCCTCAACAGCCCTTGTCATCAGGCTTTTATGTGCATTGGTCTTTCTCACTGGAACACTCTTTCCTCCATTCACAGGCTCCTTACCAGCTTTTGGTCTCAGATCAAATGTTGTATCCTCAAAGTTTTCCCCAACCTCCCTGTTCCTAAGCTAGGCCCCCAGTTCATTCTCTGTCATTGCTTGTATTCAGTTTCCTAAAGACACTCATTACAAGTTGTAATTAGCTGTCCATCTCCTCACCTTTATTAACCATCTCTCCCACTAGACTATAAACTTCAGGAGTTAGGACCACAATGTCTTGTTCACTACCGGCCCTAGCACAGTGCTAACATAAACTTCATGTTCAGATACTGGTTAGGTGAATCAGGAAATGAATTCTCTGTGTCCTGAACAGCCTTTGATTGTCCTCGTTCATGCAGTTGTCACTTGTACCCTTACTTATCTGCCTTCCATTAGACTCTGAGTTCCTTGATGCAGGGACTATCTTCATGTCTCTCCTCTTAGCACATGATGTTGATGCTAGTAGATTCATATCAACTGATTGCTGTCCTACTTACCCTCTACCTACTTTGACCGTGTGAGTAGATCATACCTCAAACTAATTTTCTGGTGTTACATTATCTATTTAGTTCTCTACAGTTCATAATGGAACCAAAAACTGTTACAGAATGAGAACCCTGGGCCAGGGAGACAGTGCCACAGCACCTGCCTGGCAAGCACAATGTCCTGAGTTCAATTCCCACTACCAAAAACAAACAAAGAAAAGGAAAAGAAAGGAAAGGAAAGGGGAAAGGGAAAGGGAAGAATGGGAATCTTTTGTGGTTAACTGGCCGTTCAGACATCGTCCTCACTTGATCTTAGCATCTGTTACAGTTTTAGCAAATCAGTTGTCTTCTGATGGTCAAGTTAACAACTGGTTGCAAAGTGATTTTATTAAGTCCATGAAAGTGATTTTGGAGAATTTTCTAAATATTGTATGAGGTCCTTGACCATCGGTATCTTGTTAAATGAAGAGAAATACTGATCAGAATGCTGATATAGGTGCTTCAGAAGATAATAGTTTGTATATTAAAGGGTAAAAAGGGGCCATAGGAAGATTGGCAGCACCCTCAGATATTTTTGTAGAAACTGCCACTTTATGGTAGAACTATGAAAACAAAATACTGTGGTATGCTAGATATGCTATATATTGCATATACTTTTATCAGAAGAATCATCAAGTTGTCAATTAACTTTATTTCTGTGTTCATTCAAAAAATTAGTTCCTGGATGTAAAAATAAACCTAAGTTTTTTCAACTACCAGGTAAAATGAAATTAGTTTTCATGATTTTAAACTCAGTTTTCTCAAGGCAGAGCCTTTATGAGTCCTTTCTTGTCCATATTATTTGCAATCCTGAATGAATTTGTTTTGTCACATTTTCCCACAAGTTATCCTTTACTAACACAGGCTTGTACAGCTACATTGAGACAGATACAGCTCATACATAAGAACCAGGAATACGTACCATAAGAAATGTTTTTCAAGAAATAATGGCTGAAACATCATAAATGTAGTAAGACATTTCAAATGCTTGCCACCTCTATGAGATGACCTAGCAAAAAGCTTCTTAACCAGACTCTAATAGACACTGCCCCCAGACCTCAGGATTTATATCCCTGCATCTTCATGTGTTTTCTCCTGGTGGCTCCTACTGAGGTCAGAACTCTAGGAAAGCGCATACCCACTTATTATCACAGAAGTCATGTAAAAAATTGTTCTCATGTTTAAAATCAGAAATAAAGTGACTTGGGATAATCTAGGGTGATCCAAGCGCCAAATCCAATCTGCTGCCTGTTTTTATAAGTTGGAGTTCATTGAAACATAACCACACTTGTGTGTTTCTATTTGTTTGTGAGTGCTTTCACTCTATAGTAGCAGGCGTGAGTAGTTACAACAGAAGTCGTATCACCCAAAAGCTGAAACTATTTACTGCCTAGCACATGCCAGAAAGTTTGATGTCCCCTGATCTATAGCCAGATTTGAAGCACAGATGCGCTGAGATCTTTTGAGTCTCTTCATATGTTTCTGTGTCTTTCTTTACACCAAAAGGATATGGAAAGAGTTTTAATGTCAGTAGCAGAAGTATGGCTTCTACTACTGACATAACAGCCTAACCCTCCCACAGACAGTAATTATATACAATATATACACTCGGGACAATTTTTTTTTTTTAAATGACTATTTAAAGGTACTATCGAGCAACCAAATGTGGACAGGAACTGAAAAGGGGCCTATGTGAGACGCAGTCCACATCTTTACAACTTTTCCCCAGTTGGCACTACCCAGTCCAGTGGTGATGAACTCAGACACCATGAGTGTTACAGCGGGCACACAGAGCCCTCTCTGTCAGCATGCGAGCCAAGTTGCCCCAGCAGCTGAGTGCTGGATAACAGTTGTTGTTTTTTGATTTTTAAACTAAATACCTCAGCATTCAGGGTATATTACAATGTTGGCACTTTGCAATAAATAAGTGAGTTTTGTTGCAGTTTGGACATTTGGTCTCTAGAAGGTTCACCATCACTGCCCTAGTCAGAGTGCTACAGGGTAGATAGGACTCAAGCAGAAAGCCAGTCTTTTTAACTTGTGACAGTTGAGGACAGAATTTGGGACTGCTAGTGCAGCTGGACAAAGAAGAGGCAAATTCCAGAAAAGATACTTATAGTAAGGGGGGAAGGCCCAAAATCTGTTTATAAATACCTCTCAAGCCTTTGATTAACCCCAAATTGTGAACGTACAGAAGGGACATTACAAAATGCAATAGAAGCCAACAGCTAGAAGGGTGACAAGACTGAGCAGAGTTATTTGTTGCCCACTATAGCAGAGCTGGAGTTTGGTATTTGAATCCAGTCCTGCCACATCAGAAGGGATTGATAAACACCTTGGGTATTCCATTGAAACCTCAGAGAGCCAGGCTCAGGAGTAGAGATCATGTCCTAGGACTAAGGACAAAACCAAGTAAACGCTAACAATTGTGAGGCCAGTCTCGAGATGATTGGCCAGTAATTTAACACCTTTAAGAGCAGATAATAGAGACTGCAGAGTCTGTGGTGCATCTGTCAAAATCACTGTACATATGAAAGAGAAAGGCATGCCTAGTGAGTAGAAGCAAACCCCCAGACAGCCCTGGTGTTACAATATACAGACACAAAATTAAAAGCACGTTTTAAATGTGTTCAAAGATTTAAAATAAAGTAACCTTAACCATTAACTACAAGTGGGAAAGCTCACACGGAATGGAAACTAATACAGAATTAAATGGAAATGCTAAAACTGAAAGCCACAGTAGCTAAGATGAAAAATTCCCTGAATCACTGGGCAAACAAATGAACAGAAGAATAGGGGGGAAAGGGTAGAAAAATATGAAAAGAGTCTCAATACACTGGGAGTAGCTTCAAACAGTGTGACAGGCATTTAATCTGAGACCTAGGAGAAAAAAAGAGGTAAGGACAGGAAAGAAATGTTTTTCAAGAAATAACGACTGAAATCATCCCAAATTTGGTGAGACTGATAACTCACAAAGCCAAGTTCAGCAAACCTATACGTATAACTGAAACCATATATAGGTATATCATAGTCATATTGCTGAAAAACAAAGATAAAAAGAAAATCTTAAGTAATCAGAGATAGAAGACATATACAGGAAAACAATATGGGTGATGGCAAACTTCTCACAGAAATAATGGAGACCAGAAGCCAGTAAGAAGTACAATATATTTAATATGCTTAAAGCAAGAGGGAAAAGAATCCTGCCAGTCTACCAAATAGGAAGTCAAAATAAGAAAAACAAAATCGAAGAGAATTCAGCAATAGCAGTCATAGAAAATGTTTCAGAATAAAGATAAATGACACCAGGTGATAACTCAGGTCCAGATCCGTAGAAAGAAGTAGTAAGCACTGGAAATGGTAAATACAAAGATACAGGGGTTGAAGGCTCACTTTTAAAAGACAACTGGTTATTTAGTTCAAAAATTATAACATTGGATTGTACAACTTAGAGTGTATATAAATTTAAAATATTTGAAAACAGTAGCATAAAGAATGGGGGATAAAAGAAATGACACTCTTGCCGGGTTTAGTGCCACACTCCCGTAATCCTAGTGCTCAGAAGGCTGAGGCAGGAGAATCGCTGCAAGCTCAAGGCCAGCCTGGGCTACGTAGTAAGTTCAAGGCCAGCCTAAACTACCGTAAGGAGACCCTTTCTCAAAAAAAAAAAAGGAATTACACTCTTGCAGGGTTCTGGTACTTTATATAAAGTGTTATGTTTTCAACTCTAAATAGACTGTAGAAAAATGTATATTGTACTTAACAAGAACAACCACTTTTAAAAATTAGCTAAAAAGTCAATAGAAGAATTAATATTTTTAAATTGAACATTAGAGTATAATCAGTGCAAAAGAGAAGAGAAAAAGAAAAACAGAGAAATTTAAAAGGAAATTTAAAAGGAAATGGAATAAATATAAAACAAGGTGGTAAACCTAAATCCAGATACATCGGTAAGTACATAAGATGTAAAGGAACTAAAAATCCCACAGAAAGGCAAGGGTTGTCAGATTGTACCGATAATGCAGGATTCCACTGTGTGTTGGTTAAAGAAGATGACTTTAGATACAAAAACAAAGACAGGAGCTGTGCACAGCAGCCAGCACCTGTAACCCCAGCTACTCTGCAGCCTGAGGCAGGGAGACCACAAAGCTGTAACACAGCCTGGGCAATTTAGCGACTTCGTGAGAGCCTGTCTCAAAGTAAAAAGGGCAGGAGAGGTGGCCCAGTGCAAAGGCCTTGGGTCCATCTCCAGTGTCACCAAATTTGGGACGATTTCAGCCATTATTTCTTGAAAAAAGGAAAAAAGCAAAGGTTGAAGATACCAGAATGGAAGGAGATACACTGTGCAAAACGAGGGGACATGAAAGCATTGTGGCTGTGTTCGCATCTATCAGCAGACTTGAAAACAAGGGTTTTACTGCGGTTAAAGAGGAGCATGACAAGAGCATTACCAGGGTATTCTCCGTGTTGATATGAGGAAGTGTTTTCTTTGTTGGTGGATGGATAGTGCTTATATGAATGTATAGATCTGTCAGTTTACTAGAATGTATAGTTCTTTGCTTTTCTCTCTGTGAATTTTACAAGTTTGATTAAAGAAAAAAGAACCGTATAAAAGACATTACCATCATAAGTACATCAAAAATGAAAGCACAGCCGGGCCTGGTGGCACTCGCCTGTAATCCCAGCATTTGGGAAGCAAGTTTGAGGCCAGCCTGGGCTGCGTAAGTGAGTTCGAGGCCAGCCTGGACTACATAGTAAAACCCTATCTCAAAAAAACAAAAACAAAAACAAAAAACAAGAAAGCTAATACTGTAAGCTTTCTTCCACCTCTATGGTTCTATCTCATTTTCTTATGTGGAAGTCAATCTAAGATTTTAAGTCTTTTTCAGCTATAGTGTAGTTCCCTGTTCAATAGTGCTTTTTTACAGCTTTTATTTTTTGTTTTCTTCTAAAACTTAACATTTTATTGGAAGTTAGCAGACTTCCACCCCAGAGGCTGATAACTTTTCTCACAAAAACTAATGAAAGTTTCTGTTTGTGGGCATCTTGGTCTGGCATTTAATTTGGCACCCTCCTGTATTTACATAGTTCTCACTCATTTGTTTATGGGTGCTTGATTACCTGTGGTGTACCAAGTGCTGAGTCCTGAAATAGTGTGCTAGACAGACATGCTGCCTTCCCTCACACTTCAAAGCTGTGTACTTTTCCTTGGGGAAATTTAACATGAAAGTTGAAAAGCCAGAAGGCTAACCTCATTGATGAAGTGGCAGAGTCTGCAGTCTGCACATGAACTCCGTGTGTGCACCACATGCTGCCCTGTGGGGAGAGCTCCTATGTTGGAAGGTGAGCCGTGAGAAACAGCCAGATGCAATACAGTTAGAGCACGCCGTGCACAGAGGCCAGGCTTCACAGTCAGTGTGCAAAATGAAGATCAAGTAGAGGTAAAATTCTTGTCTTTAGACGTTGGCATCACATTTGGTGGATGATGTCCGTACCAGGATCTGTGCCCAGGAACCAAGTTTGATGGAGAAAGAGATTTTCCGTCTCATGCTAATCAAAAGAAATGGTCCACTAAATCACCCTTCCTATTGAAACGATTATTCCTGTCTCTTTCCTTCTCATCCCTCTATTGTATGCAGTGGAGTGAGGAGGGGGAAGGGGAATAGGGAGGAGATGAACATGCAGAGTTAAATTCACGTGAAATGAGACACATACCTAGCGTTTGAGAATTACCGTTGCATGAAGATAGCGGAAAAGCAAGTTGCAATCTCATTGAAGTAGTGAATTTAAATGTGTGCTTATGTCTGAGACAATCAGCCTCTAGATTACAGGGTGATCTCTATGACACCCCAGCACAGCCACTGCTCTGGAGAATTGTTTATAGCATTCTTTTTATCTCTCTTGATAGCTTGGGAAGCCAAAGTTTAAAGGACTGTTGAACAAATGAATTTGGGAATTACAGCATTGAGTTCAATTAAAAAGGCTTTTTAGCCGAAACAATTGTTTACAGCACCATATTTAATTCCTATAAAACTGTATTCTAAACTATCTTCTGAGAGACATTTCAGTGTTACATTAAAAGTTTCTGCCTTTGATAATTACTGGTTCATTTGCTTTAAAGCATTATGTCATCCTCTTTGGCTTAAGAGAAAGATTACCTTTTGTACAGGGATAATGGGCTTAAATATTTAAACAACAACAACAAAAAATATTTAACTAGTTTTCCCACTTTTGTTGTTTATTTTCCCTTCTCCTCTGCAGTTTCGTGCCTTAGCACCAATGTACTACCGAGGATCGGCAGCAGCTATAATCGTTTATGATATCACAAAAGAAGTAAGACAGTGTTCAGTTTGCCTTACACTACTTTGGAAACTCTTGAGTTGCTCAGATCTCCAGTTATTCTACTTCTCTGTTGCAGGAGACATTTTCAACATTAAAAAACTGGGTAAAGGAGCTTCGACAGCATGGCCCACCTAATATTGTAGTTGCCATTGCAGGAAATAAGTGTGATCTTATCGATGTCAGGTAAGTTATTAGAGCAAGAGATTACAGTGCTGATTATGTGTTCCTTTTCTTAATGAGCAATATCCAGTGTAAGAATCTTGCTTTTATTTTATCTCTGACATTGAAAAATTTCTTTTTGTTATGTGGTTGGAGCCCTGAAGTTTCAGACTGAAATTAAGGTTTCAGGCATTTGGAGCTAATTATATTATATAGAGAGAGACAGGTATGTAATTTACTTAAACACTGGTCACATTGCACTTGACATTATCTGAGATCAGTGCAGCCCCAAGACTCCTACGATGCAGGGTGCTTGAATACGGAAGCACATTTATTGGCAGTTTCTCTGCACCACTTCCGTGATTCCCAAAGCAAGGGCTTTTTCTTTTAATTTAGGAGGAGTATAGAAAACTTAGCCTTTGCTTGGTCATTCCATTAGCTGTATTAATGTTGCTAGTGGTACTGAGTTTTATTTAAACACAGAAATGGTAAGATTGGGAAGACAACATGTGAAAGCTCATTCAGCAGCCTTTTGGAGTATCCCTTGTCATCGTAAATCTGGTTATTAACTGGGTAGATGGGAATAATGGTAAGCTCTTAATGGGTAGAATTTCTGATTTGCAATTGTTGCCTTCCAGAGAAGTCATGGAGAGAGATGCTAAGGACTACGCTGACTCCATTCATGCGATTTTTGTAGAAACCAGTGCAAAAAACGCGATAAACATAAATGAACTCTTTATAGAAATTAGTGAGTATCTCTTTGTCTTACGGGTTTTCTGTATGCAGAACAATTTCTAACAGAGTTATCTTCCTGATGAGAGTCCCTGCCTTAGTTTGAATGGTCTGGTCTCTGATGCTGTCCTCAGTGAGATGAGATTTGAGAATAGAACGATGGTCTGCTTTCCCATCATGGTGTAATGGCTGGAGAGCTGCTGTCTGATGACTGTAGCCTTTCTGGAGAGAATGTCGCTACTGAATAAATAATGCACAGGGCATCGAGGTCACGGAAGCTGTCGTGTCTCTAGCTCTTTCTGTATCTAAATGTGTTTCAATTAGTCATCCAAGGTCAATAAAAATGAACAAAATAAATAAAGGGAAGTGAAATGCAGGTATAATTCTTCTGTACGAAAACCCTGAAAAATTGGTAGTAAGCAAGGAAAGGTAAGTCCTCTCATTCCCACCTTCCCTTTCCCTTTTCAGTGTGTTAATATGGTAACACAAGATGGGAGAGAGACTGCTGCATGCCTTTGGGATCCTTCACAGATTGTATCTGTGTTTATTCATTTCATTCAAATTCATCAAAATATTTATTAGGAACTGTTCCAGGCTCAGGGGAAACAGCGTAAAGAAGATAGACACAGCCCTTGCTCTCCTGGAGTGTGTGTTCTGCTGAGGGAGACGGACGGTGAGCACCAGATAAATAGCATCATTTCAGATGATAAGAGATATGAAGCAAATACTTCAGGACGAGTGAACGTGCTTGCAGGAGGTCAGGGAGGGCCTCTCTGCAGAGGTGGTATCAGAGCTGAAGTTGGATAGAACTAGGATTCACATTAACTGAACATTGCAGGTGGAGGTAGGCAGCCGGCCCTCAAGAACAGTGGACTTATCCGTTAAGACAGCTAAAGCAAAGAGGAATCTTGGTCTTGTTGAAGGTGAGAGGCCATGAATTCCAGTGCCCACCAGGGTCAGTCAGGGACAGCCTGAGTGGAGGACGCCTGAGAGGAGCCCTGGCAGCTGATCCCAAGCCCAGCTGCAGCAGTTGGGCTTGGGCCAGAGTATGGCCCTCTAGTTGTCCACTTGCCGAGCTTGTTTTCAAGCTATGTTTCGGTTGGGTCTTTATATTGCTATCTAGTTTTCTTAAAGATCTTTATTTCTACGCAATGTGCCTGTTGTTTATATCTGACCACTAATTCTCAGAGTACTTTGCAGACCCACCTGACGGCCCATGGCCTGCTAGTGACATACTTTTGGCCAGCCCTTCATTTCAAGGTTAAAAGAGGTGATTTTCATCGTTGCCCTAGATGTAAATGCCAGGTATCCAGCTGCGTTCTTCAAAGGCAACACAAGGCTCATTAGGAATTTTTATCAGTTCTGGGGCTGGGGATTTAGCTCAGCAGCAAAGCGCCTGCCTGGCAAGCGCAAGGTCGTGAGTTCGGTTCCCGGTACCGGAGAAAAACCAAAAAAACAAAAAAAAAAAGGAATTTTTATCAGTTCTGACTAAATAATCTGCGTAGGGCATAATGTGTTAAAACTACCACTGGTTTTTATAGTAAGTGTTCTTTACTATCCCAGTATTAAAAACAGGAAATTATGAACTAGACCAACAGTGGGTACTCTTACATGAAAACTAGCATGGCCAGGGGTGTGTATATAGGTCAGTAGTAAGAGAACTTGTCTAGCATGTGTGTCTGATAAGGTGTGGGTTCCCTAGCACCTCAGCAAGGTAGGGGAGGGTGCTAATGTGCACATACTCATTTTCACTGACGAATGCAAATATTCAGAAAGATGAGAACTGACAGAGACGGAGACTGAATGTTCTGTCCACTGGGTGTCGTCAAATCGCATGAAGGCAGTGTCTGGCATGTTGCTGCTGACCTGTGTTGAAGTATAACACACATATAGAAGAAAACACTTACCAGAAGTACAAGTTCAGAGTGGTAACAAACAGAAGAAAGCCTGAGCTTAGCATGTGGGCTGGGACATGGTTCTCCTACCGCACCCCCCAGGGTAACCACCATCCTGACTGCTAACTCTTAAGACTGGTTTCACCTGCTTTGGGGTGGTTGCAGGGGCTGTTGTTTTGGGGTGGTTTTGGTTTTGGTTTTTGAAACAGGGTCTTACTATGTAGCCTAGGCTGGTCTTAAACTCCCAACAATCTACCTGCCTCAGTCTCCTGAGTGGCTATAATTACAGGTGTATACCACCCCTCCCGGCAACTTCGTGTTTTAAAACATTCTATTTACTTTTGTTTCGCTTCTTTATTCTTCATTACATTTTTGATTATCTGTGTCATCACAGACCTGTAACACATGTATCCTCATGGCTGATACACGTCGCTGTCAAGAGTCAGAGTTTGGAAATATGCGAGCGGGGGCTATCCACAGTGTAATTATCTGATCACATTAGGCATTTCGGTGGTTGTTTCCACTGTAGAGCTATTACAGATAGTAATGCTCTGAGCATTCTGGTCATGTCCTTTGGTGTGAACATCTGTACACATTTTTGGTTTTTGTTATCTTTATGCCCAAGAGAAGAACTGCTGGGTCATTGGATTTGCATGTGTTCAATATGATTTTACTCCCAGTTTTCAAAGTGGTGGCTCTGTCGGTTGATACCACACCAGTAGTCTATGAGGTTCGGTCTCTTTTCGTGTCTGATGAGCAGTTTCTGCATTTCCATGATGGTGATGAAGCTTAGCACTTGTCCAAATACTTACTTACATACTCAGATCTTCTGCCTGTTTCCCTATTGAGTTACCTACCTTTTTCTCCATATTTTGTACCTCTTTATTTTGGACCTGAGGGATTTGTTGTTTATATGTATTGGAAATATCTTCTATTCTGTGGTTTGGCTTATTGGGGGTGGGATTGAGATGGGGTCTCATTGTGTAGTTCAGGCTGGCCTTGGGTTCATTATGTAGCCCAGACTGGCCTTGAACTCACAGTGATCCTCCTGCCTCAGACTCCTGAGTGCTGGGATTATAGGTAGCTTTCATTTTTTAGTTAATCTTTATATAAACTGGTTTTTAATCTTAATCTAACCCAAGATGTCCTGGTTTTCCTTTATAGTGAGCATAGTTTTTTAAGAAACCATTGCCAGTTCATGAAAATGTTTTTTCCTGCTTTGTTCTAAAAATACTCATTCTTTAAAAAATTTTTGTTGCACTTTACAATTGACTCTGTGATACCAGCTGTAGTGGTTTCCATTTATTGAGAAAAACAGTAATAAACTTCAGCAAAGCTCTAAAGAACATTTGTAATTTATTCACCACCACATGTATAGGCATCTGAAAAATTGTAGGGTACTTTCTAGTTGGTACAGAAACCGTACTTGGTACTGCCCATACAGGTTATGAACTGCCCGATATGGTGCATGCTCAAGACTTGGCACCAGTAACCTAAGGGCTATCACAAATTCCCTCCCTGTTAATGTCAGAAGATGTACCTGTCCATTCATACCATCTTTACAAAATACTGGAAACACCAAGGTTGAGAAACAGGATCTCTTCCCTAAAGAGCTTAGGATCTAATGTGAGGAAGCTAGCCCTGTAAACAAATATATCATAGCCTGCTTCTGGTGTTTTGGTGGATTTTAGTGTCTGAGCTCTTAGAGAATTAGGAAGTTGGGAGGGCATCAAGAGAAGCTTTGTACAAGAAGCAGCCTTTGAGTTACCAGCCAGATAAGTAGATTTCAAGTTTTCTCAAAATTGACATTATGCTTCTCAGAGCAATAAACTGAAACCTGTTCATTTTCATGTATTGTTGGTAGGAGAATAAAGTGACAAGGCTTCTTCAGAGAGCCATTTGGTAGCATTTGTCAAAATTTAAATTGCATGTCCTTCTTGCTTTTGTGCTAGATAAGGCACTAGGATGATGGTATATGTGTCAGACAAATGCCCAGGAGTAGAATGGTGTGACCTAGATCCTGCACTCTGTTCGTTTATCCTATACATTACACCATTGATAAATATTGAGAATAAACTAAATATCCGTCAGTAGAGAAATAGTTAAATAAATTGTACATATACACGATACAGTATCGTACAGCTAATAAAGAAGCAGCAGCTCCACATTGTACCGTGATAGAACAATCCCCAAGACATATTAAGTGAAAGTAACGAGAAAGAGAACAGTGCATACTGTTTGCTCCCATTTCTTCTTCAGAAAGGAGAATGAGACATACCAGTGAATGTTTATGACATAGCAGTGAATGGTTATGAATGTTTATCAATCCCTGTCTCTGGAAGGCTGCACAAGAGAAGGGTGGCAGTGGCGAAGGGACAGGCATATTCTGATGAAATCTTTTTTTAGTATATATGTTACCTACTCAGGATATTTTTTACATGTACTTACTTTTAATTTTTTACTAAATGCCATATGGTATCCTTGGGTCCTGGGACACAAACATTAATGGACATTAATGGAAAAACTGATAACATCCAAAAAAAAATCTATAGAGTTAATGGTGATGTGGCAATGTTGAATTGTTCATTTTGACAAATGACTATGGTAATACAGTATAAGATATCAGCATTGGGGAAACTGAATGAGAGCATCCAGGAACTCTATCCGTCATCTTTGTAACTTTTCAGTAAATGATTCCAAAGTAAAACGTTTATTAAACTTTTTTTTTTTACTTTAATGAAACCTGTCAGATTGCATCTGCAAAATTGTTGGTCTGAGAATGAACAGATTTGAAAAGTTGAAGCTGATTCCCTCCCCTTCCCTCTTGATGTAGGTCGAAGAATTCCGTCCACCGACGCCAACCCGCCATCTGGCGGTAAGGGCTTCAAACTCCGAAGACCACCATCAGAGCCAAAGCGAAACTGCTGTTGATGAGCCTCAGCCTCTCAGACTTGATGAAGTAGGTGAGCCTGAAGTTGGCAGGAGGGCTGCAGACCCTGCCGAGCTGCTCTTGAGTCTTCTTCATACAAAAAGGACTCGCAGAAAGTGACCAGTTGTGTTCTTTGAAGACTGCAGTAGTATATTTCAGTCTGTGGACTTGTATTGTGTCAAGAATCTCTGGTATACAGAGGGACTACATCATTGGCTTTTGACCTTGCTGAAAGGAACATCTAATTGTATGGATGGTAGGATTAAATTGCTGAGTAGTTTTGTAATCAGGATTTTATGTAACATTTGTAAAGGGAAAATTAGCACTTTCATGGTCTGTGAGGGGGAAAAAAAGACTTTGTGGAGATTATCATTTTCTTGGTTTCTCGTTGCCACTGTTAGAGAGAATTGTATCATTTAAAATGTGGTAGAATTTCGCAAGTGAAGAGCTGGCAGTTATTATTTTAAAATAAAATGGGTTATTTATAGGATGGATGGAGACAATTACATCTCTGCCGTCTCTGAAGCACTTTCATTGAGTGTGCTAACCTAAGATACATGCCGTAAGCTGACACCATAGCAGCAGCTACCCACCTCACCCCGGGCTTGCTTCTGACTATGTCGTGTATCTGGCACCAGATGCATTATTGGCACCTCTTTAAATAAGCTCTTGTGAACACAGTGGTGGCGGTAGAGAAGCTGCCTGGAATAAAGCAGACTGCATATGTTCTAAACTGACTATCATAAAAAAGAAGAGAAAAAGAAAGTAAAGGAAGTAATATAAATGCTGTCAATTTTTATTTAATCCAAGTATTTTGAGGGGAAAACGAGTTGCTTAGCATATGTAAAGTTTCGGTCTGTATTTATGAGATCATTGCTTAAAGATTATATGTAAATACATTAATAAATGGTTTCATTCAACACTCCATCTAATCTTGCATAACCCTACCCATTTTTCAGCCTGTCTGTGGGGCACTTTGAGGCACATGTGTGTTGTGCAGAGAAGTAAGAGCACTTAGCTCACAGTCTTTCATGGTTTCTCTGCCTTCCTTTCCACCCACCCTTCTTCCCTCCACACCCCATCTGGAAATGATAATAAAAGACATGTGCTATTTGACAAGCCTGACTAGTCCTTACTAGCCTGGGGTAGCGAGAGTAAGCTCCAAGCTCAGGCCACTTACCTGGTTTTGGTAATCAGTTTCTTTTAGCTGTTATAAGGACCTCAGACCAGCTGTTTTAAGAGCACTTTCCTTGTTAACAATTTAGCTTATCTTTCTGTTTCCTTTATTTTCCCTGCTTCTGGTAGTGGTTAACACTCTTTTTCCCTCAGGGAGCCTAATGAGGTTTTTAATATAATCTAAAAATAAAGCACTGAAGTGAAGTTGGTGAAAATTTGTTCCTGGTCTAATTTGGCACCCTTCCAACCTGAGTATTTTAAGAGAAGGAAATTTACAAGATTAAATAGGAAATGAAACAGCTTGAATTTCAAACTAAATTGTGTTTTCAGAGCTGTCTTTAAACTGAACAGTCAAACTTTTAAACATAAATTTTTTCTTTGTCCCCCCCCCCATACACACTTGATATGGATAGATTTCAATGGGAAAATTATAATTCAGATTAAGTAAAAAAACCTTTTCCTGGTTGTACATCTTAAGTATTTGAGATTGTTTTAGACTTTCTAAAATCATATCAAAAGAATATGGGAAATGAAAATTCTAATGCTCTTTTGTATAAAGTAGATATAGACTCTATATTTTCCCAATATTTTGCTTCCAAGCCACCATTAAATTAGCAAACTTGTAGAGAAACCGTGTGATTCCCAGGGCTGAGCTCTTTATTCCTAAAGGTAGCTTGATTATGTACCTTCGCATGGTTCCAGGGCATGCAGGCACCACCCTGGTCTGTCCCTAGCATTCCTACTGCTAGGCCTCTATCTCCATGACAACAAAACAAAAACAAAGGTTTCCTGACTCCTTACAGAAGAGGCCATGCTTGCGTGGCCTTTCCTGTTTTATTTAACCAGAAAACAACACAAATTTATGACCTTCACCAAACCTGCCATTAGATGCTGGTAATCTCCTGGTCCCTCTGTGCGCAGGTAAACACAAGGTCTTCTGAGCCTCGTCTGAATGCCTGTGATGGCTCTCGGCATGATATTCTAGCCCACTGCAGGGCCATCTCTTTGGCCCTTTGCAGCTAGTCTCTCTTGCTAGTTTCTCTTGCTGACTTTTATACCCTTGTCCATATGTAGGGAGTAATTCTATTTACCATAGCCGCATGTCTTTTTAACGGCGCGAGTGGCGTGCATGGAGTTTGTGCTCGTGCATTTCTAGGATCCTTTGCCCTCATTTTCTTCAGTCCTTCCAAGAAATTGATAGGGTACAGTTTCTCTTATTGTACAATTCTAATATCGACCCATGAAAACTGATCTCCAGGCATAACTCATATTGAGTGGAAACAGGAGAAGGTCTTCACTTTGTGTCTGAAATGCAAACATGATTATTAAAGTCAAATCAGTGCTTTATTTTAAACACATTTTGGATTAACTTAAGCAGTAATCAAAAAAAATTATGAGAAAAATCTAGACTTCAAAGGAATTAAGACACGGCCTATCCATAAAAATCTTTTGGTTCCCTCATGACACGGCCATTTTTTAAAACTTTGGGACTGAACAGAAGGGAAAAAATCATTAATTAGCTGCAAGTGTGTATTGATTCTTTTCAGAGAAATTGAAATAAGCTCCTTGCAGGTGTCCAATCCTAGAAACCGTTGGTCTCCAGATCTCTCCTTTTACATAAGTGTTTTTCTGATTCTCTGATAACTAATTAACTATCATGTGATTAAAAGAACATAAAGTAAGAGCATGATTAAGTGTCCTTCATTTTAAACTCTCTGTAAGAAGTGATTGGGGAGAAGTACCTACTGCAAGCCCTTCTGCTTCTGAGTGAAACCCCCATCACCTGCTCGTCAGCCACAGTCAGGGTAAGTTCTACACAGAGCAGCTGCAAGATGTCTTCCTTTTAAAACAACATACGTCCTTGTTCCCCGTTAGTGATGCCTCTTCTCTCATTGTGCTCGATTTCCTGCACATCTACCTGTGTCTGAAAGGATCCTGCCTTTTATATTAGAGACTTGATCTACATAAGTTGGCCTGTGTCCTTAAGGTTAGCAGTTCTCTTGATTTTTAAATACATAAAGGGGAAGAAAACCACATTTAATTTTAAAACTTGTCTTTTATATCAGTGTCTTGTCTCCAGGAAGAAAATATATCTGGGAGGCCTCCTAAAACTCCGAGAGATACAGTAATGAAAATATCCTTTACGTAACTATTTCATGGCCTTCCTGGGACTGTCAGCCTAGAATGTGTATTTTTATGGCCTTGAGTTTAAATCGGCAGGTCAGGTTCATATTAACGCTGCACTAATTGGTATGTTGGCCTCCAAAAGGCATCTGTTCAGTTATATGCACCTTTTATATTCTAAGATTGGATTGAAAAAGACTATATAAATTCTGTTTATCCCTTTTCACTCATTCTCTCAAGAGCAGGGACATGATTCATGGGCCCTTAGATCGTGAGCTATAGGCACACAATGTATTATTTCTGTAACAGATGAGCCCCTAAACATCCAGCTTGTCTTTATCAGACCTGTGTAAATAATGAGAGAATTATTTTTTTCCAGAGAAAAGTTACTGGAAATCCCTTCGCTTTGTCTGTACTAAATGCCAGCTTTAGAGCATTTGGAGAAATGACAGCCCACACACTCAGACCAGCTCTCCTTACTAAACTCATTAGGCTGTGAATGTCTACCCTAACTCTGACAGTAGAAACTTAGATAGCATAAATTACTTAAATTTGTTTTAAAGCGATGAGCAACACAATTTTTGTTTACTGTCTGTTTTTTAAGAGGTACTCTACCTCTTAATGGTTAATAGTTTTTTTTAAGGAAGAGATGGGATGTATCTTCACGGATCAAGCTATTAACTGTATACCTGCCTTTAATGAGCTTGGTTCATCCAAAAAAAAACGTTTAATAGGGCTCAGTGGTAGAGCACCAGCCTAACATGTGCAAAGCCCTGGGTTCTATCTCCTGCACTGCAAAAAGAGAAAAAAAAAATTTTTTTAATGATTCAAGGTAATGTTAGGATACCCTGTGATACTATTGATTTTTTTTTAAAAAAAGCATTCCAGCAAAAAATTACATAGGAGATAAACAGTGTACTGTATAGCTTTAGGAAAGGGAAGTGAAGATGGAATTTAGCCTAGGACTTAAAAAACAATCTCTGCAAATTTCTTTTGACAGCAGAGTTGCTTGTCTTGACTTCCAGTAATAGAAAACCAGGCAATTTGATTATCTGATTTGCAAGAAATGTTAATGAAATTCCAGGGCATTTGTCCTGTTTTATGTGCAAATGAAAGTCTAAAAAATATTAGAAAGGCATTACGTTTTTCACGAGCCTCCATTTTTTTCATCTAAGAATGAAAAGTGAGAGGCCTGTTGTGATGAAGTTTCATTAGACATAATGAAGAAAGTGAATAAATAGAACCCAGAATCACCATATTTCTCAGTTCAGACTCCAGGACTCTCTTAGCACATAGGAAAATGATTTACTTTCTAAATCTAGAAGGACTTCCAGTCTCATAGATCAAATTTAATTTGATGATCTGTACCATCAGAAATAACTAATATCTGTGTTCTTTCCTTTCAGAGTATAATCAGTTAGAGATATGCTAGAATATTTTTGGCTTCAAAACAAAAGGAGTTAGAAGTTTAATTTTAAAAATCTCAAACCTTTCATCTGTTTTATTATGTTGCGCATTTTCAATAGTAAGATTAGGATATATCAACAGTAGATGGTGAAATTAAAACCATGATGTGTAACAGATTTAATACAAAAAATTTTAATTTGCTGCTAGTTCATTTGAGATCTGTTTGATACCCAGTGCCTCATCAAAATGCTTCATAATTGCAATAAACAAAATTCTGGGTAGCTTTCCGTGAAGCAAAATTCAGGTGCCATGTCCTTTCTGCCAATTCATGGGAAGTCTTAAGATAGTAATTTGTTGAGAGAGCCTTCTGTAGTTGACAGTTTTATACTGTTGGCCTTAATGCCCTCCTTAATGATGCAATAGAAATAAAACATGCTGGTTTTATTGAAGCCACTTCTTGATCCAGAAACTTTCCAGTGTTTAAGGAAACATGTTCAATGCAAATCTTTAAAACAGCATTTTGTGTATGGGACCGGTAATCTTCACTTAGCACTGAAATTGTCAAGGAGACCTCCGAAACCTTTAAAGTCACATCGTGTAGCATCAGGGATACCCCCTCCCCAAGCGCAGTGCAGAGCCCACTGTCCCCCCAGCTGGAGTAGTGCCCACTGGGGTGGTGCACCTGTGCCACTCGGGAGCATCATCAGCCCCTCTGCCCGTGGTGATAGGTGACTTGGCCTGGGAGTCTCAACCTGATATATTTGGCCATTATCAATTTTTCATTAAGTTTTTAATTCAATAATTTGTATCCCCTGAAATTGTTTTACAGCATCACTTGAATTTGTTGACTTTCACTTACTTTCTTTACGAAGTTATTTCAGAGTGCGTGAAACTTGATCTTACCTTAGATCATACATGATTTCTGAGGGCCCAGTCAGTAAGAGCAGGGCAGAATCACCGGCAGCTGGCCGGTCAGAACAACTGCTGGGTGGCTCTGTTTTTAAACCAACCTTTTGTAGTTCATGTAGACAGAGCGTTATCGCCCTGGAAGGGGTTTTGGTTTTTGTTTTTTGGTGGCTGTTGTTTTGTTCTCATCCAGCTGTCTTTCCGTCATTTCACTTTGTGAATCACTCACGTAACTATCAGTCATTCCTCTGACCGTGAGCGTTTACTTCTACCTTCTCTGTGATTGAAGCAGGCCTCTTGCCTTTCTTCCTTTCCTTTGTCAGTTTTCTGAAGGCTTTCCCTTAGAGACATGCTCGCACCCGTGACATGCGTCCGTGTGGCCTTCTGTGGTTGCAGTGACAGGGTTGGCCCCTCTGTGCAGCTAGGGAGGCAAGCTACGTGTATCACAATGAGCAATGCAAAGGCCAACGTCGGTGAAGAACTGCAGGACTTCAGGAAGGGAATGGGCAGCATGCACTTTCAATGAGAACGCAAGTAATTGCCAAAATGCTTTTCATTGATGACAGGATCATTAGCTTAAGTGTCAGAACTTCACTGAGTCTGTACTAGAGCATTTGTTAAAGTGTGTAAAAGTCCGACTCAAAAGTCTAGAACAGAAGCAGCTATGGAGATGAGCCTAGACATTAAAAAAACAAAAAGCTAAGTTGTCATACCAGCAATTCTTATTTCTCCTAAGAATATCATGCCTTTTCAAGACCTGATGTAAGGAGTAAGATATTTGTGCCTTTTTACAATAGCACCTATTACGAATAAAATTAAGTTGCTTACAGTATTGGCCGCTTTGTAACACTATAAACAGATTTATAACTGTGGCTTCACACTGCATGATAAACTGCCTGTAATGAAATACTGTAATGATGGTTTGCCAAGCTTGTATGGATGTTTGAAGACTTTATTTTTGCAGTCTTAATCTTGGGCTGGACCTAAGTGTATGTAAACCATATGATGTCTGTATTGTTTGTAGATGCTGACAAAACAAAACTAAACCTTTTGCTTTTTGTTGTATAATTTTTCTTTTTATTCGTATGCTGGTAGTAGATAGTTTGCAGAGGAAGGTAGAATTGGCATACTTTTTGATGATACTGTTTTAGCTTGAATATTCTATAATAGACTTTTTATAGAGTATAACATGCTAAATCACTACAAAATTTGTTCTAAGAAGGGTGTAAACATTTTGTTAATAAAATACTATGTTTACAAATACATGTACTTGCCTTTTAGTGGTTTCTTTTTGCAATATGACTCGTCACACATTCTTAACTAAATATTCTGAAGTCATTTCCAAAATGGGTTTTGGAAACTGAAGGCCTAGAACATCTGTGGCTCTGATGGTATCTGTGAGCACCGAGGTATTTGTATCAGTGGATCTAGCTCCCCGGCCTCCACACCTCAGCCTTGCACTCCTATGTGTCTCCCAGTGTGTCAAGTTGAGATGGGCACTGTTGCTCTTGCAGGAGTGCAAAGCCACCAGGGCACTTAGAGGGAATCCTGCCCTGTACAATAAAGGAGGCAGCTGGGTTTGGTGGCACATGCCTGTAATCTCTGAGCACTGGAGGCTGAGGCAGAAGCATCTCAAATTTGAGCCAAGCCTGGCCAATTTTGAACCTGTCCAAAAATAAAAAAGGCTAGAATAAATTTTTTTTTAAATAATAAAAATTTAAAAAATAAAAAAGGCTGAGGATGTAGCTCAGTGTAAAGGCCCTGAGTATTAAAAGATTAAAAGGCCCCAGTATTAAAAGATTAGCACTATGAGGAGCCTTATTTCCTAGAAGAAAAGATGGTTTGGTTTGATTTGGTTTTTTGTTTTTTGTTTTTTTCCGGTACTGGGAATCGAACTCACGACGTTGTGCATGCCAGGCAGGCGCTGTGCCGCTGAGCTAAATCCCCAGCCCCTTGATTTGGTTTTTTGAGACAGGGTCTCGTTATATAGTTTAGGCTGGTTTTGAACTCACCAAGTAGCCCAGGATGGCCTCAAACTCTCGGCAATCCGCCCATCTCAGCTTCCCAAATGCTGGGATTATAGGTGTGCACCACCATGCCTGGCGAAAAAGACGTTTTGGCAGCTCTCCCAGTATTCAGGGGATTTCCCCAAAGTGCCATGTTTGCCTCAGTTTTACTAGGAGGAAACCAGAGAGCAGAGAGGGTTTGAAACTGAGTTGGGGTTAGAGTCAGCTTCACCGTCCTCCAGGCTGTGTGGCCCTCCACAAGGTTCTTAACTCTCAGAGTTGTGTGTCCTTGTCTTCCTAAGGGAGGATAATAACTTAGTGGCAGTTTGGTGGGATGACCTGATAACAGGCATTTGCAAAGTTCAGCATTGATGACAAGTAAGCACTCATAGAACTTTTATAATCCATCTTCCGGATGACCCCCTTCTGATTCAGGTAAGATGGCTATTTGATAATGGTTTTGTTTGTTTGTTTTTGTGAGACAGGGTTGCATTGTATAGCCCAGTCTGCCCTTGAACTCATGGTGCTCCTCCTGCCTCAGCCTCCCAAATGGTGGGATTACAGGTGTGTACCACTGTACTTGGCTGTTTTGGTTTTCTTTTACATTTTTAAAGATACAGTATGTACCAGCCAGGCATGGTGGCACACCCCCCACAATCCCAGCACTCATGAGGCTGAGGGAGGAGTATCACTGCAAGTTCGAGGCCAGTCTGGGCTACATAGTTCAAGGCCAACCTGAACTACATAGAGAGATCCTGTCTCCACAAAAAAAACATTATATATATATGCATACATGGGAAATATCATAAATCTTGTGTACAGATCAGTCTCACAAAGGTTACTGTCCCTCAGATCAGAAAGCAGGCATTATCCACATCCCAGCAATCCCCCCTCAGTCACTCTCCTATTTTGTCAAGCTCACAGGTTAAAGTTTGTACTTTGTATCAGATTATATGCAAACATATGGCATGTACTCCTAGGCCTGCCTCCTTTTAACCAATGTTTGTCTTCACTCTAGCATTCATAGCATAAGCCATTTACCCGTTCTATTTGGATGGGTATTGGATCGTTTGTGGCCTTGCTATTAGGAATGCACCATGAACATTCTCACTCGTTCTTTGGTGTATATGGGCCTCTACTTGGGAATGGCGACTGTTGGGTCATGGCAGATACATACTTGTTGGTTCGCTTATTTTTTGCTCTAGGACATACAGTTTCCTAAAGCAGTGTACAAATACAACTCCAAGCTATTAACAGAAGTTATATCTGAAGAGAGAGGTTTGGATGATAGACCCATCACTTTTTTTTTTTTTAACTTTCTGTATACTTCTGTACATTTTAAGTTTGGGGGCACAGTATTTCTTTTTTTATGTATTTTTTCTTTAAAAAAAAAGGTTTTTTTATGTATTTTTTTCTTTAAAAAAAAATCAGGAAATCTTGCACTCTAATCCTTTCTTCAAAACTTTAGTGAAAATTGACTTATAAAAAAAAGAAAAGAAAATTGACTTTGTAAATACACTAAAATTATATTTGTCTTAATTTCTCTTTTAAAAAACAAACACAAACTGGACTTTCGTGCTGCACACCTATACTGCCAGCACTCTAGGAGGCTGAGGCAGAAGGATCGCAAGTTCAAGCTCAGCCTGGACCACTTAGCTAGATCCTGTCTCAAAGTAAAAAATAACTTTTAAAAGCTAAGGAAGTAGTGTGAAGGGTTTGGATTCAGTCCCCAGGACTGCAATCAGTCAGTCAATATTTTTTAAAAATTACAGCCACTCAATATGGTCAGTAAAAAGCTTAGAGCCAAATTTGGGGCAAGTGTATAAAACTTTAAAGCACACATTTATTTCACTGTAATATTTGAGATACATCTTTTCAAGCTGCTGTAAATCCTCTTGGGAGAAAGACAGTGGGGAGCACCAATAAAAATGATAAGTGGAGAATATCAGTCCGTGGCCTGACAATGTTATACTATGGCAGGAACCGGTGTCATAGACGCCAAAAAAAAGAATGACCCCAGCCGAAAAGGAAGAGACAGATTAGCACACACATCAAAAACACAGATGTGTTAAATGCACACACAAAACAACTTCGCATTATCTTCTCCATACATGCCTGGATGCTTGTCCTGGAACATAAAAACTAAATTATGGACCCGGAATTCTAAGCAACCTCTAAGTTTGTCACAGGTGTTTTTTCCATTAGAATCAAAAAGCAGACTTCTATTAAAATCATAATTTTTTTTTTTTTTTTGGTCTTTTTGAGACAGGGTCTCACTATGCAGTTCAGGCTGGCCTTGAGCTCACTTTGTAGCCTAGGCTGGTCTCGAATTCGCAACGATCCTCCCGGCTCAGCCTCCTGAGTGCTGGGATTACAGGCATGCACCACCATGCCCGGCTTAAAATCGTAAATTATAAAATGCAGAACCTTTCCAAATTTCCATTTATTGGTCTTCTACTATTTATTTGTTACTGATCACAAATGTGATTCTCCACTGAGAATGTTGCTGAGAAGCCAGTCCTCTGCAGCCTTCGAGAACTCACTCTCCAGGCACACTTATCACTTCTCTTTATAGCACTGGTGAAACCTGTAAGACACAAGGGAGAAAACAGCATCACAGCCAACACCTTATCAAGGTGGATCACTTTATTATTGTCTGAAATGGACCTTAGATTTTTGTTTTCAGCACAATTTTTCAGCATCTCCTAGGAACGAAGATTAAAATCCAGAGACTTCCTTCTGAGACATGTTCATGAAGACGTTGTTTTTTCAGATGCCATTGTTAGTGGGGTGGGAAACCGAACATGGGGTCACATTTCTCTTTATTAATATTCCGTGTAGAATGAGCATTGAGCCTTTGTTAAATAAAACATATGGAAAATAAAACGGGAGTGCTACCCGGGTTCCACTCCATTACGAAAGGGCACTTTTAAGAAGAAAATTGTGGTGTTGTGAATGTTAATTTGAGATTAATGCACAATGTTAGGGCACAGGCTCTGCACCCCTGGTATACTATCATCAACATTAAAATTGCCATCAGCTGTTCAAATGATGGGGTCAGGTCATGTCTTATTCGCATAGAAGTGAGAATACATCACAGTTTTTTTTTTTTTTTTTTTAAAAGAAAGAAACACAGCAGTGAGAGGCATGGACAGTGCATACGCTGTTTATGGGCAGGGTGGTTAGCTGTCTGCATGAGCCATTAATATAAAATGGCTCATCAAAGCATAAAATGTCCCACCCAGAGTGTTTTGTGTGAATTTGTTTCTATATGTCCTACTTCTAAAATGATAACCTCACATTAGAGAATTAAGGTCCCTGTGGGTTTTCTTTCCTATTCTCTTATTCCTTCTTGATGCAGTAGGAGAAGGGAATGTTGGTGACCAAAGGGCAGTTTTTACAAATGGACTCCAGATGACCTTGGGGGGATTAAGGGACAGCCACTTTGGAGGCCGCTCACAGTACATATAGGGAGATGCTGATGGAGCATATGAGATTCTCTAGGGGAGGAAAAACCGCAGCCACCTGGAAGTGGAAAGGACTCGGCTCAGCCAACACAGGAGCACTCTTCCGCTTCAGCCCCATCATAACGATGTACCAACTGACACGATCCTGAAATCATGAAGACAGCGCTTGGAGAAGTGGAATAAAATTGTATGTGCTCAGGGTAGCCTCTAAAATGAATAGCTCAAGGTCATTTTTCAAAAAAAGGCTTCAGGGCCAGCTGGAGGACATTTCTTCAGTATTTTGTTGAGTCACTGAGTGCACTTGAACTTTGCTTCCCTCCTCCGTAAGCTGGTGTGTGCTTTTATTTGCAAAGTGATAATGATACGAACTTTATGGGGCTCCTGTGAATCGTGCAAGAATTAAGCTATGTAAATCAGTATCACCCACTGTACCAATAATATACAAACTCCACTATTAGCCCTAGCATGCAACTGCTTGTAACAAAACCATGCACATTTAGTACCTGCTTTTTCCCCCCTGGGTCTATTAGGAAATTCTCTCTTGTTTGTATATACAGGGCTAAACAATATAAAAGCTTGTTTTCATTTTTTTTGATGCTGTAGTTTAAAAGAAAAATGCCCACATAGTCGTGTGTGCACACACACACAAAATGAAGAAAAGACAAATGACTTAAATTGCAAAGTGAAATGAGAAAAACAAAAGATTCCTTATAGCCTCGGCTGCAGGAGAGTAATAGGATCAGTGGAAGGAGTTTTGTCAGGAGACCTTGGGCTCAGAGGAGGGAGCAGAGG